CAGTCCCTTGTTGAGTTACCCAAGCTCTGCCCACAACTTTATAGTCCCTTTAGTAAATTCTCTTCATGTGTTTAGGTTGTTTTTTTAATGTATATTTTTATTGATTTCAGGGGAAGGGAGAGAAAGATAGAACATCAATGATGAGAGAGAATCATTGATCAGCTGCCTCCTGCACACCCCACACTGGTGATCAAGCTCAAAACCCGGGCACGTGCCCTGACCCCGCAGACCTCCTGGTTCATAGGTCGAAACTCAACCCCTGAGCTACATTGGCCAGGCTATTTAACTAGTTTTAATATGTCATCTGCTTCTTGCTGAGACCCTAAGATAGCATGGGACTCACTCCCAAGTTTCAGGGACTAGATCTTTGTTGTTGTTGTTGTTGTTGTTAATCCTCACCTGAGGATATTTTTCCGTTGACTCTTTTTGTAGAGAGTGGAAGGGAAGGGAAGAGATAGAGAGAGAAACATTGATGTGAGACACATTGATTGGTTGCCTCCTGCATTTGCCCTGACCAGGGCCAGGGATTGAGGGATTGAGCCTGCAACCGAGGTACGTGCCTTTGACTGAGCCACTGAGCCAAATCTGCTAGGGCAGGGCCTTGATCTTGATTACTCTAAACTAGTCACAATATTGCATTTGCCAATAATCAGTTCAGACACTCAGGGTAAAGGCAATCTGCGTGGTATTTCCTTAAGCAATGTTTGTGATATAGAGATGGGCACTTGACTTAAGATGATCAATTAGATGGAAGAGATCTTAGTCTGTTTGGGCTGCCATAACATAATACCACAGATGGGGTGCCTTGTACACAACTGTGATGGAGGCTGGGAAGGTAAAGATCAAGGTATCAGCATGGTCAAGGTGAGGGTTTCAACATATGAATTTTGGGGGGACGTCAACATTCAGACTACAGCAAAAAGGCAACACCTGGCTTCAGCTCCTGCCAGTAGCCATCCTATGAGCATGAGGGAAGTCACTGTGAAGACAAAGACAGCACACTCTTAGGACACAGCCCAGAGTAATGGCACTGGAGCCATGATTCTGACATCTATGGACTTACTGTTATAGGCAATAATAAATCTCTTCATAGGTTAAGCTCTTTTTATTGAAATTTTTTGTGGGTTTTTTGGGGGGGGGGGGGGGGTAGTTTGCTGGTGAAAGCATCATAGCCAATATAGTTTTATCAGTATTTTTTGTTTGTGTAGCAGCCAGAGGGTTTAAAGCATTTCTAATGCTTTTAATGTTCTCAACAACAGTTATAGTTAAGGTAGTAGTAATAATAGCTATGTGTCAGACACTATTGAAAGCACTTTATTTGTAAATATTTAACTTGGTTAACCATCACAACAACTATTCAGTAGGTACTATTATTCCTATTATGTAAGTATCAGATGACAAACAGAAGGCACAGAGAAATAAAAAATATTAGCTGGTCCATAGCAGAGCTGGAATTTGAACCCAGAGCCTGTGTTCTTCAGCTCTATATTCTACTACACTGTGAATTGGGGAGGGCAGGTTTTATTTGCTCATGTTTCAGATGGGGCCACTATGGTTCAGCGAGCCAAAGAGCTAGTTCAGAGGGAACTCAGAACTCACATGAGATTTAGTGCTGTTTCCATCGTGGTGCATTTCCGTCCCAGTGAGCTTCTGATCCAGGGCCTTTCTAATAATTTATGGAACAATAATGCAAATGACAGCTCTCCACTTCTCCAAATTGTTCAAGTAAAACTGGAGCAATGTGTGAGAAGGGACTTCCTGTAGGGGCCACTAAATAAGTGCAGCCTATAGTACACACCTACTATCCAAACTTTTTTCATACACCTCCTATAAGAATTTTATAAAACTATACACCCCTCATATATTGTAAGTTACCATCTGAAAATTTTTATCATATGTTGCAAATAATTTAAGTTCTGGTGTATTAAAATATTGACATTTTAAATAAAACTGTAGCTCATTCTATAGGTTTCCAAAGAAGTCTGAATTTCAGTACAACTTGAGATTCACCATTATCCATTCAAAATATGTGAATGAGCACATACTATTATATTCTCAACTTACTGATGAAGGAACAGAAGCAGAAGGTGGTAAATAAATTGCTTGAGGCCATAAATTGCTTAAGGCCGTATATTCAGGGAACGGGAAACTCGGGATTCAATCCAACTTCAACTTCTTTGATTAATCACCATGTTCTGTTGTCTTCTTCATCAGAAAATTCTTCCAAGGACAAAGTTTTGAGGATTCTGTGGCCTTTCACTATTCCAAAAACTACCTTAAAATGAGACGAGGTTAGGGCGCCCAACTAATCCAGGGAAATGACAGAACTTCATCTCTATGCAGTTTTGATTCAGAAGAAACAGGAGAATACAACTATAGGCCTCTTTCTTCTGAGCGAATATGTATATCTCTGAGCTTTTGTTCTAAGGCATCAATAAACAGGCTGACACTGGACTTGGGAAGGTCATATTCATGTAAATTTCTACTTGGGACCAAGTACCCTTGGTCTTGGGAGCAGGTTTGGGTACCTGGCTCAAGGCAGGACTCCAGGCTCTTAACAAGACACCTGGGAGGATGGAGAGAGCAGAGCAAGAGGAGGCCTATCTGGGGAGCCACACTCCAGGTCATCTCCAGTGGAACTGGAGACCGTCCAGGGCCTGGAGGGGCAGAACTGGGGCGGGAGCTGTCCGTGGTTCTGGCTGAAGTCAACTCGTGGATATTTAAGGTCAAGAGCAGCCGGCCCATCTTCCCCTAAAGTGGATGGAGGAGTCTGAGGTTTTGGGGGGCAGGAGTTGGTTTTAATTAACCTGCTGGCTGAGAAGGAAATGGAAGAACCCCATTTCCATGCCCTCCAGAGCGTATGTCATTGCCTGGGCGAATCTGACAGTTTCTTTTCATGTTCCCCCTCAGTGTCACCTCCTGTTTTAGACTTAAAGACTTTAGCTATTTTGATGCCTCTCACCCTTCCCTCTGCCAGAATCTATTCCTCCTCCAGCTCCCTCCTCTGCCCCACCTCCAGATGTAGGTGGAAAAGCACCAGGTGAGGGCTTCGTAGGCACATGGCCATTTTAATCTTTACTCCTGGTAAATCCAGGACAGGCTAATACTGGGATTGGCTTAAAACCCACTGCCATGGCCTGTATGTCCAGGATATGGAGCTTTTAATTTCACCAAATAGAAACTGGATCTTTGGAATGCTGAGGTTTGAGTCTCTTAAATGGATCTTGTGTTTGTGGTTCCATCTGAGCAAATTCTGAGCCAGGACTGAAAAATGAAAGACTCTTCGTTTTAGTTCAGAGAGCCCCAGGGTGGAAGAGAAAAGGAGGTCCAGGAGTGGGATGGTGCATAGATGGAAACAAGGACCTGCTGAAACAAGGCACTGCCCCACAGCCCACGCGGTAAGCATGTTAATGAACCTGGTCCCATTAATGAACTGGCAAGGAAATAGCTGGTCAAATAAATATTTGTTGTTTTACTGAGCATTCAAGAAAGTGCAATAAACTGCATTGTTAAGCATTGTATATTAGTTGATTCTTACTTCTACAGTTAATGACTAATTTTGGTGACATTTATTTGACAATCCTTTAATGAGTGGTGATAGAGCATTACTCTTAAAAGAACAGGATGCTTTCTTATCACGTCCATATCAGAGGGACTAATTTGTCCTGCTTGGTTTTTCAAGAATTATTTCTAAGGTTGGCATTGGAATGCAATGCTCAGAGCAGGAAATGACATTGAAAATGGTATCAATGACTTATTTTATTTAAAAATATGTTTTTATTGATTTTAAAGAGAGGAAGGGAGAGAGGGAGAGACAAAGAGAAATACCTATGTGACAGAGAAACATTGATTGGTTGCTTCTTGCATGCACCCCGACCGGGAATCAAACCTATATCCTGGGCATGTGCCCTGACTGGGAATACAACTGGTGACCTTTTGGTGCCTAGAGTGATGCTCAACCAACTGAGCCACACCAGCCAGCATAATGACCTTTATTTTAAAAATTGGTCTCGACTTCCTGCCCCTAGAAAGACAAAAAGTTTGACCACTTGGGCAGGAAAGTCTTAAAGTTGGGCAGGAAAGCGAAGTCATGTTTTCTTGTGTTGAACCCTCAGTAAAACAACATGTCTGGAGAATGATGATGTTTAAATCAATTTCCTTTATGTTAACTATTTCATAAAATGAACACAACACAATATTTCCAGATGAAAAAAAAATGTCATTAGCAGCAGAGTGTTGACTTTTTGGAGCTTGTGATTTAAAACCAGTAATGCTACAGCTCTAGAAGGAAAAGGAAGCTTCAAAATGGTGTGCAACTGTCAGAAATGGGGGCAGAGGAATGAAGGTCTACTGCCTTCTGCTTCAAAGAAGAAATTTCCATTTCAATCTCCAAAGTTATGTTTTTCAAGATACAGGTTTAGCTTCATGTTGATGAACATGTCATTATTTTATTGCTTACAACATTAATTTGCATGTTTATATAGATTTGGACTGTGTTGAAAGGTTTAAATTCTGTGGTGTGAGAATTATTTCAAAGCACAGTTTTTAAGGCATTATAAACCTCCCCACTCTTCCTCAGATATCTAGTGTTCAAGTAAAATGTACAATCAACAAAAGTCTAAGTCTGTTGACTATCCATCCAGATATGACATAGATTATCACAATGAGCCCCTGCAATGGATTGGAAATCAGATTCTTTGACCATTGTTTCATGTCACAAGATTATCCAGCTAATATATTTCTAAGGCAGTGAGAGAAATGTTTCATTCCAAGAAACACTTGAAAATGCCAAATTTTGTAACCACTAAATATTTTTATCATAATTAAAAATTTTCATTTTCTCTTTAATAATGTATTTCCTTATTCATTCAATGACTATTTACTGAATATCTACCAGCTAGGCTTTTAGTTATCATCTAATAAATCTTAAGTGTCTTCAAAATATCTCCCAAAACAAACTTTGCAATGATTGGAAGATGATGCTGCAAGTTGTAGGAGTCAGGTGGAGAGTTGTATTATCTTCCACAGCAGTATTTATGGTTACAATAAAACATACAGAAATGTTTTGATATTATACTATGAATTTTAATGTTTCTAACCATTTTAATAGGGTTCTGAATTAAAGAAAATCTTCATAGGCAGTACAATAAAGCAGTTATTAGAATCATAGTTCAATGAAATAGAAGATGACTTTTGTAGGCTAAGATTTATATTAAACCCCAAAGTTCAATTCTAATCACAGGCTTGTGTTTTACATTGAGTGATACATACTCCTTTAGGAATTCTCTATGGTAAATATGAAGCTTGAATGAAGCAGGTCACAGATTAATTAACTTTGATGAAAAGTGACATTATTCATTTTAACTCAGTTGAGAGTATGCGATTATCATCTCAAAATCAAAAGATGACCCCAAAAGATCCACCATTATGCTTTGGGGTATGTATTAATAGGCTGTCATTTCAGATTATTTAGACTTATTTGTTGCTCCTTCACCTTGCTCAAAAAAGTGATTTAAGGCTGTCATTTCTAACTAAGGTTTGATTTTCAGACTTTCTCAGATAAAATAAAAGAAGTAGGATTTCTATCAACAGATTCTCAGTTGACAGACCCGGTTCTGTCCATGGCTTCACTTTATTTTCTGGAGGGCACTGCAAAGGATTCCAACTTCACCTAGAAAAAAAATAGATGAGCCACTCATATCATGAATACACACCCTTCAAGTGTCCACAATGTGTAAAGTATGGGGAAATCATCGGATGTACCCCAACCCTCAAGGAGCTCACAGTGATAGAATCTGGGCAATCATGGCTTAGGTCAGTGGTTCTCAACCTTCCTAATGCCACAACCCTTTAATACAGTTCCTCATGTTGTGGTGACCCCCAATTTCATTGTTACAAATTGAACATAATTAAAGCATAGTGATTAATCACAAAAACAATATGTAATTATATATGTGTTTTCTGATGGTCTTAGGCGACCCCTGTGAAAGAGTCGTTCGACCCCCAAAAGGGTCACGACCCACAGGTTGAGAACCACTGGCTTAGGTAGTTTCAAGTTTTAGGAAATGAGAGAGCTATTAATATAATTGGCTTCCTCTTTCCATAGACTGCTTCTCAGGAGAGGAGTTAACAGTTTTCTCCCCCGGGGAAAATCACCAGCTCTTCTGTTTCTCTTTTACATGACCATCCATTGATGCTTGCAAGAAGCTAAGCCATTGAACCTAAAAGCGTGGTTCATACAAACCTCCTGTGTCAGAATCACCTGGGACCTTATTACAAATACAAACTCCCAATCCTCATCACATATTTTGTGAATGTAGTCTAGGGCTATGACCCATGACTATTCATTTTTAACTATCACCCCAAGTGATTCTGATGCACACTAGGTTTGAGAATGCACAGTCTAAGTAGATAACTCAGCCTAGACCACTGGACTAAGAAGGTCTGATGGAGCCACTCTTATTCATGCCATGTTCTTACCAAGCTCTGAGATGCGTGGCAATCAGTGCAAGGAGGGGAATACAGCTCTCAAGAGTTGAAGAAAACACTACATTATGAGTAAAATTTAGCATGGCTCCAGTGCCTCCCCTGTACCAAGAACTATGTTAAGTTCTTACTGTTTTATAGTCTTCATAATTCTCATTCCTATTTTAATCTTCATAAGAACATGGCAAGAAATTTAATAAATTTCTTACTGTTTCTATCATGAAGATAAGAAAACACAACTCTCGATTTCTGGGAAAGAAAGTGGCCTCAAGGTATGTTACTTACTGTTGATGGAGTCAGCCAAAATCTTAAGTTGCTGGGTATTGTCCAAGACCTCAATCCTTTGGGTGTATGGGTCATAACGAACTGAGAAGGGCCGTGGGATTGTAGCAGCAAAGTTCCTGAAATCAAAACCATAGATCTGAGTGAAGGGCACCATTTGGGGAAAAGGTAATTCTGAAAGATTTTTCAATGGCCTTTCACTTGGCTATTAGTAACACAGAAAACACTAGAACAGAGGGTTTAGATGCCAGGCTGAGAAGTGTGATGGAGTTTTAGTGAGGTCCTCTTGGGGACCCTTTGCTGTTTGTGTTTCTATGTGACTATATAAACACATGTATGCACATATTTATTTGGTCACCTACTTCCAAAAAGGACAGAGGCAGCTTATAATAAAAGCCCAGGTTACAATAAGGCCAAAATTCTAATGGATAAAATAAAATAAAATAAAATAAAATAAAATAAAATAAAATAAAAAGAGTAAATAGAGCCCTAACTGGTTTGGCTCAGTGGATAGAGCGTCGGCCTGTGGACTGAAGGGTCCCAGGTTTGATTCTGGTCAAGGGCATGTACCTTAGTTGTGAGCACATCCCCAGGAGGGGGTGTACAGGAGGCAGCTGATCAATGTTTTTCTCTCATCAATGTTTCTAATTCTCTACCCCTTTCCCTTCCTCTCTGTAAAAAAATCAATAAAATATATATTTTTTAAAAGAGTAAGTAGAATCCAGCTACAGAATGTTATAGAAGAAAGTAAGTCCTGAGATGGTTGGCAATCAGTGCAAGGAGGGAATACAGCTCTCAAGAGTTGAAGAAAACACTACATTATGAGTGAAATTTAGCATAGCTCCAGTGCCGCCCCTGTACCAAGAACTATGTTAAGTTCTTTTTTAAAAAAATTATTTATTTATTTTTATGTTTAATTTTTTTATTGATTAAGTTATTACATATGTGTCCTTATCCCCACATTAAGTTCTTACTGTTCTATAGTCTTTATAAATCTCACTCCTATTTTAATCTTCATAAGAACTCTAGTGGGAAGGTACTATTACTTTCCCCATTTTACAGATGAGAAAACTGAGGTTTGGAGCAGCTAAGTGTCTACCAAGGCCATCCTGGCAATATATTGTGAAGCTGGGAAGACGAAGGTAGTCTGACTCTTCAGTAGGCCTGTTTCTTCTTCATTACTCCTAGGTCTGGGAGGAATGCATGTTAACCAATTAATTAACAAGATATTCCAAAATGATTTATAAAATGCAAAGGTATCACAAATGCTATTTCTAAGTTGGCTTCTGGTGAAAGTAGAAGCTTCCATAATGAGAAGACAATTATAAGGGAGGCTAGTTTATCGAGTCTGGTGGAGCATAGTGGCTGGATATCCAAGTTCCAGAGTTGGAATTCCTGGGCTCACTCACATCCTGAGATTAGTGCATTTGCTAATTACTTGTTGAGTGCCTACTAAGTGTCATGCAATGTTCTAAGGGCTGGGGGAAGAGTAGAAAACAGAAATGATAAAATCTCTATCCTCATGGATCTTAAATCCTACAATATAGTAGACATTAATAAGTAGAAAACAGAAAAATAAGTCATAGAAGGGGTAAGTAGTGCTGGGGTAGGGCTGAGTAGTGATTTTAAATAAGTTGGTTAGAGAAAGATGCACAAAGAAGGTTAAATGTGGGTGAAGATTTGAAGATCAGGGAGTGATTTCTGCAGGTATCTAGGAGAATAACGTGAACATGGGTTATAAGATTTCAAGGACTGATTTGGTGGAGGGACTTCTGTGTCTACTCTGCACACAGAAGGGTTCAAATCTGTGGATTTGGTGGCTGTATTGAACAAGGATCAGGTGGCCAGGTAGTCTGCAGGGATTGGCACGTGAGGACAATAAGCTGCGAAACAGGGTCTCATGAAGGAACCCCTCCCAACAGAGGGTGGGAAGGGACAAGAGTAGGAGGCTCTGTCTGCTGCACACTATTGCTGTGGGCATTGGAGTCCACCTCCTGGCCAACCACCCACAGATCAGTGGCACCAGAGCAAGTAAGGAGGTCCCAAGAGCTGCTGACCTGCCTTAGTTGCCACCTCACCTTACTTTCTCTTTGGCATCATTAAAACTCTCAGCCACGTAATACAGGGGCTGGAACTCTGTGATTGTGTACTCCTGGATGGCTGTCTTCTCCAGGTCCAGTGGAAGGAGCATGGGCTTGTCCGACAAGCAGTACTGCAAACACCAAGTGGAAAATTTTCACAGTTAAATCAGGGCCAATGGTCCCTGCTGCATCCCACAGGCCATTTGTGCGCCTTCTCCCATCTCACTCAGATTCCTTCCACACCCCAGCCCAAAATTCAGTAAACTGAATTATTTTGCATCTGCTATATTCTACCCTTTATAGTTCATCTAAAACCTACAGTCAAGATAGAAAGAAGTAATGCACTGCAACCATTTTCAAATGAGGTGATCAACAGATGAGGGAGCCAATCACATTTGCTGGCACATGTTTTCATACATCTGTATGCACAGTCAAACCTTGGAATCAGGAGGCCCCTCTATCTTGGAGACCTGTGAACTTACAGTTCAATTAACACCCACACTCATGATCAGATCTTAACTGCTAAGGCAGCAATCTCTTAAGGTTAATCCCCTGGGTTGAATCACAAAATGAATGTAAATGGGGTTTCCATAGCACCAAGAAAAAAAAATGGTCAGCTGTTTCCACCATTATCAAATCTATTGTTAGTTCCTGTTAGAGTCATACCTGTAATTCACCGAAGGATGACAGGAGCCCAGCACCATATGCCTTTATGGAGTCTCCTTGTTTGCAGAGCCCAAACTCCACAGTAAACCAGTAAATCTGGAATGGAAAGTCAAGTTGAGAGCACACCCGAAGGGAGGTAAAGACAGCAGATGCCCCACGATCAAGGACAGGACTGCCCAGGTGAGAGTTTGTGCAGGTTTGTTCTCTGAATCAGCATGACCTGAGGTCACCTCTCTGTCTCTTGTGTCTCACCCTAACGAATCATCTGTTGAATCAAGAGTTGGCTGAATGCAAGATGAGACAGGAAGCAGTGACAGTGGGGGAGAGTATTGAGGGTACCCTCAAAGTATACCCCTAACAAATTGTTCTCTCTAGAACAGGAACTCCTTCTCTACTTTTGCTTTCTTCTTCATGGAATCAACTAGAGTGAGATGTTCCCTTTATGTTGTTTGAACTTACCAAGCAATCCCATCAGGCTCAGCAGTGGGAGGCAGGAGATTGGAGGGTGATAGAATCAATGAAAGGCCATCCCCTCATCTGTGCTAAACTTGGAATTTCTGAATGACTCCTCTATCAATCATTGCTTCCACATACACACATACTTTATGCTGGAGAAATCTCAAGGGCAATTATTACAGCTTATTGATATTTTCAAGGCACTCTGTTTAGAATCACATGTAAACATCTGCATGAAGCTGATTTCAAAATCCAACCACTAAGGAGTAATCCAAGTGAAAAATTATACTTGTGCAAATGTAACCCAGTGCATTCTGATTTTCTTTCCAAATGACCTGGCTTTCAGGGGAAGATCAAAGCTTCAGAGACCTGAGAGCTGTAACCCATAACACTCCCACTACCCACCACAGAAAGACAGAATTTACCGTGGCAAGTTTCTCAATGTACTCATCAGGTGCACCCAAAGAGGCAAGGCCAATTTCCTGTAATTATGAAAAAACAGAGTCATTGGCATGACAGGGTCTGCCTATTTTCAACCTTTATCCTCAATTAAAGATAAAGGTACTTGATCACAGAAGGTGGTGGTTGGATAGATGTCTTCAGAAGAGCTCAGAGAGACCCTAATTGCTCTGTCAAGTCTTCCTTAACCACACATCATAGAATCACAGATCTCTAGAGTGGGGGAAACTGTTCCCTAGCTGGTCAATCACCTGTTGAATCAAGAGTTGGCTGAATGAAAGTGTTGGCTTGATTCAACAGGTGTATTTTTTTACAGATGAGAAAACTGTGACACAGAAAAGGGAGATGATATGCTCAAGGTCACACAGCACTTTGTGTCTAAAGCTTCATCTCTTGATTCCAATTTAGTAATTATTCTTCTACAGCAGAAGTGGAACATTTCTGGGGTACTAGATAAGTCTTAATTATACACCCTGAAGAAACCACAGAAGTGCTTGACATCCATCCAGGTATATATAGTTGGAGAGTCTGAAATGTCATGAACCACTTCTCATCACAGCTTCAACTGCAAAATTTCTTTAGCTGTATTTTTGTCTCTCTTACAGCATTTGCTTCAGTCTGCCTTGTATCAGTGTGTGTGTGTGTGTGTGTGTGTGTGTGTGTGTGTGTGTGTGTCTTTCCTACTGTATGCAAAAACATTGTGTTCTTCTGGAAACATACAAAATTGATAAAGATCCTTTATCTCATGGTTTTTACTTTTGAGTAGGTAATTCAGTTGGTTCAAGAAATAGAGAGGGGCCAGTGTGCTTAAAGCAGAGTAAGAGGATGGGGGGAGTGACAGATGGTATCAAACAGGAATCTGGAGCCTCATCATGTAGGACCTTTTGGTTATTTGGGGCTTAAGATTGTCCTCTCAGTGTAATGGGGAGACATTACAGGGTTTTGAGCAGAGAAGTTGCAAGATATGATTTATGTCTTCAAAGATTCACTCTGGCTTCTCTGTGAGAATAGACTGTAGGGGGTCAAGGGTAGAGGAAGGGAGACCAGTTACGAGGCTACTGCAGTCACAAGGGTGAGGAATGCTAGTGGCTAACACCAGGTTGTAGCAGTGAATATGATGGGAAATGACAAAATTCTACATATATTTTGAAAGTAAGCCCTTAGAATTTTCTGAAAGATATGGTTGTAGGTATGTAAGAAAGAAAAGTCAATGATGTCCCCCAAGTGCTTTTGGTTTGAGAAACTGGAAGGATGGAGTTGCCATGAACTAATACAGGGGGCTGTGGGTGGAGAAGGTTTGAACAGGAAGATAAAGAATTCAGTTTTGGACATGATGAATAAAGATGTCTATTAGACATCCAAGTGGAGATATTGAATAGGTGGTTGGATATGTAAGTCTAAGTTTTAGGATTAAAGTCTGGGTGGAGATATAAATGTGTTTATCATCAGGTTAGAGCTTGTATTTAAAGCCATGAAATTGGGTAATATAACCAAGAAATTAACGTAGATAGAGAGAAGGACTAAGTATTGGGCCCATAATGAAGCAAGAAGTTACATGGTCTTCATCCCTGTGTTCCTGTCTAGGCCAAATGCAGCACCTGGCCCAGATTACATACTGAGAAAACGCTGTCCAGTTAGAATGAACCAAATTTAGATACTGGCTTAGCCTGGATCTACTCTCTTGCCCCTTCCCCATCTCTGTTCCAGACATACCAAAGTTCTAAGTCTATCAGGAGCCATTGATAAATCCAAGATCAAAATGGCACCCTGTTCTAGTTGTCACCAGTCTTTGTGAGCCTAGAGATTGCCTAGCACAAGGGGTTCCAAGATATCCCTGTGGTCCATCCCCATCCCATCTTTTACTGTAGCAGAAAGCAAGTCCTGCCTTTAGATAAAAAAGGGATGTGCTCAGGGAAGCTTCAGAATGGTTCTCTGCCTTAGGACTATCCTGGTCAAAATTGAAACTGTGTGACACTCATGGCCCAGAGCTTCCATCTCTCTCTTTTAAAAAAATTTAAGTTCTTTATTGTTTAATATATTACATAAGCCTCCTTTTTCCCCACTGACCTCTCCCCGGCCACCCCTAACCCTCAGCACATGCCCTCCCTCCTTCCCCCCACCCCTATCTGTGTCCATTGGTTATACTCATATGCATGCATACAAGTCCTTTGGTTGATTTCTTACCCCCTCACCCCCCACCTTCCCTCATAGGTTGGACAGTCTACTCAGGTAATTGTCCACTTCTCTGTGGAGCTCCCCAAAATGGAAATGGCTTAAGGGTATTACTTAGCCTCCTTAATACCTTCTGATGGTGAGAACAAAAAGTTCTATTCTGATAAGAAAACTTATTTATCTTTGGCCATAGCAACAATCCCAATTTTAAAGCTTCCAAAACAAACAGTGGCACTGGGCAGCAAGAACCTCACTTCTAAAAGTCAGCCTATCAGCAGTAACTTCAGTCCAGTGGTAACGCTTCTACAGTTAAGGTTCAACCAATCCTTAAGCACTTTTTAATGTCCAACAATTTCTGAATCCACATTTCCAAGAACCCTACATAAAAGCAAGTTTTCATTGTTTGGGGAAGTCTGTGTCTTACAAGTACAGTTTTTCCTTATTTAGCAAGCAATTAATTCAGCTTTTTTGTTTGTTCATTTGTTTCCTATATTAAGTGGTAGCCTCTTCCTTCAATAGTAGAATGTTTATTTCTTCCAGCTGCTTATAAAATTCACACACAATCCCATTACTCTGAAATTCATGCTTGGTCCAGCATTTGTTCACGGGTCATTCCATTTGATCCTGTGTGTGTGTGTGTGTGTGTGTGTGTGTGTGTGTGTGTGTGTGTGTGAGAGGAGGGCTTCTTTTTATTGATACACATTTGAAGAACAGGGTGGCCTCTCAAGACAACTTTTCTCAGGTCACACAGGTGATTGGTGGCTTGGTAGGGCCTATGCATGCATTGTCATTCAACAATCTCATGATCCAATGATGGTTCTAGGCCACCTCTCAAAGCCTGGAGAGCATTAGTAGGATTCTTTTACTGATCCCCAAAACATTTTTTGAACATGATCACCACTGTTATAGATGAATCAAGATCTAGCCTGCTATTTTGATAATAGTGAAAAAACATTAGGCTTATTATTTTTTGCCAACTCTGAGTAGGGCTATTGGCATTGGATTCTTGGCAAATGTCATCTTACTTAATGAAAACATAACCAAATGACTGCTTGACAAGGTAAAATCACTTCTACATGGGAACCAGAGAGGTTTTTCATGGATGAAAGGCTAATATACCACCCCTGGTAGGACAAGTGAGATTAGCAAGTTCAACAATTTAATTCAGAGGATGAGGGATTCACAAATCAAATGTCGTGGTCTCTAGAATGGGTATCTCCATAGGACCATACACCCATCTCAGGTGGTAGCACAGAACTGTACCTTCCAGAGACGTGAGGCTAGAAGGCTAAAGATATGCATTCCTCACCTGGGAAAACTGGGCAAAACTGCGATCTGAAAACAAGGGCACGTGTCCCAACAGCTCATGGCAGATGTCACTGAAAGACAGAGAACACAGAGCTTGGGGGTGAATAAGGGTTACAAGCAAGCCCGACTCAGTCTTACTACATAAGGAATGGGTGGGAAGAAAGGAAGTAATTCCTCAGGCTTATGCCCTCACTTCCAAGAATAAGTGGTATACAAACCTTGGGATCAGGTGAGACAGAGTACAAGAGAAAAGGAAGAGGGGAAAGAAAAGTAAGGGACAGGGCAGGACACAGCAGCAAGGGGGTCTTAGGTGTATGCCCAGTGAGGTGTAGAAGAGCCAATATTTCTGTTGGCATTCCCCCAGACACCTGAGTGAGCTGTGAATCATGAACACTTCCCATCCCAAGTCCTCACCTTGGCATTGACATTCCTGGGCAGATACAATGTGCTCAGTTATTCTCCACAGGAAATAAAAAATAATTTTTAATAGAACTGTTCCTCTCTTATTCTAGAGTGGGCAGCAGTCAGTCAAGAAAGAAAACTTATATTGATTTAACATTATGTCCCAGGTCCATTAAGAACAGGTCTTTTCTGATTTATAATAATAAACTTTGTAGGCAGGGAAAGACCATTTTGGGTGTCCTGCTGAATTTTTGTATAAATTGCTTAAGTTCTAGCTGCCTAAGGAGATAGCTAAATGCAAAAGTAAGCAGCATAGTAGCCAGCCATTCTCTACTTTCAGTCAAAACACATTCTAGGCAGAGAAAGCTTAGAATCGTGTAGTCATGTATTTAGGAGGTGTTGAGATAGCTTGCCATCTCTTTTTCCTGTTCCCATTTGGAACTTTATAGCTCTGACTCCTACAATCCCTTTGGAATTTGAATGTGACCTCTCATTCCCATGGTCAGGGAAGGTCTGAATCTTTGGTTCAAAAGATGTCCATATCTCCAATTAGTACGGTCTATTTGAACAGAGAAAATCCCCAGAAGCGATGAGTTTTTTTCTTAGCATCAAACAATCCAGGCACCTTGTTCTATGGATGAGTCCACAAATAAACCAAACCTCATTCCTGGATTAGAGAGAGGTGGCATACACTGTTGCTGGCAACTGGTGGAGGGGGGATAATACTTACGGTTCAGGTGTATACATGGGCTTCGACCCATGTCTGATGTACTGGGTGCAGTGGAAGACTCGGAAGGCCAGGCCACCCAGGAAATCCCGAGAGGAAAGCAGGCCAGCCACAGGTCGGAGGCGGAAGCCAGTGCAACCTAGGAATCAAGAGAGAAAGAAAACTCAAAGCCCATCACAGCAGAGCCATAGGGCTCTGAAGACTTTTAGGCAGGGAAGCAATATACCCTGCTGTCCAGGAGATGGGTGCTGATGCCAGATAGACTTATCATCTTCAAATATCTACCTCAATACTTTCTAGCTGGGTGATATGGGCCAAATAAGTTCAAGTCTCTGAGACTCAGTTTCCTCACCTCCAACATGTGGATAAATACTTCTTAGGATCATTCTGAAAATCAAAAGAGCTAACAAAGTACTTTCACAGAGCCTAGCACTTTGGAAACATCCAATAAATTTACCTTCTATTATTATTTGTTAGGTTTAAATGCTTATTCTCTACTCCTTGTCTTTCCAGAGTGCAGAGAAAATTTTCACAGCACTTCCCAGGAAGGAAAAGGATGAAAGGAGCACTCTGACTTCTCTATCGCACCTCACACAGTCCACCCCATGAGGACCAGTGACTTCCCTGATTTGAGCCTTTGGGAAGAGGAATGAATATTTTCAATTTCACACTTTCTTCCCTTTCTCTCTTGACTGTTGGTCCATAGAGGAGCACACTCTGGTCTGCTCTTGGCCATGGAATGGACGACACACTGTGCCAATGAATTGGCAAGGAAGTCCATGGTGGCTACACATCTCTACCGCATTCTCTAAGTAGCTTTTATTAGTAATAAAGGTGACATTTTGTTCTCCATCTCTTTGGTTTCTCTATTTTCTTCTCAATTTGTTTTAGATTTAGGAGGAGAATAATAACAGTGGGCATCATTATAATAATAGCTAATGCTATACATTACATACTATATGTCAGACACTGTTCTAAGTACTTTATACATACTAACTAATCCTCACAATCCCCCTATGAGGTAGATGTTTTTACTATCCCCACTTTACAAATGCGGAAGTAGGTGTTTACTATGGGTTAGTTGATTGTTTTAGTTTGGTTTTGCTGAATTAACACCACCTCCTGGCAGAGAGGAAAACCCTTATCTCCTTGGAAGTGATGTCACCCCAATGATGTGGTTCCCCACTAAGATACTGAGTCTAAGTTAGCCAAATGCACTGAGCATCTACTGTATATGTATCACTATGCTGGTGATTTCACATGCAGCATCTTTTTTCATTCTCACAACTGCCCTCTGAGAAAGGCTAAAATGCTGACACAGACTCCATTGGACAGATAACAAAAGTGAGGTAGGTTCACCCAACTAGAGAAAGTCCAAAGCAAGATTCATACCAGATGGGTGTATAAACTTGGAGTTCAGGCTTTCTTAGCACTGCCCACAAATAATACATTTCTAACACACAGGCACACTGCTGCCATCTCATAACATAGCAGAGCTGCAAGGAAAACCATGACTGGGCAACCTGGGCCTTGAGTATGAAAAAAACGTTTCAGGGGCATTGATAGGCAAAACCCATGCCTTGTGCCTTTAAGGAGGGAGGCGATGAGAGTAGATTAACAGTGGAAGCTGGAAGTGAGGCAGAGCTCAGCAGTGACATTCCATTTTTCCTGGGAGAATCAACCTGCATGCATTGCCATCGGCACACTCACACTGGCCTCCATTTATTGCCCTCCCCTCCTGTCCCTTTACCTTTGACCCTGATGTGCACTTACTCTGAAGAAACTGAGACACATCCTCCAGCTGGGGAATGTTATCTTCACGGAAGCCACAATACTTTTCCAGAAGTGGGAAGATGTGGTTGTGCTCATAGCAAGCGTGGGTTTTATACAAGGACTTCAGGGTCTTGAACACCGTGCCCCAGGTTTTCCTTTCCTCCTCCGTGTATTCCACTCGAGGAATGGGTTGCCCACTAGAACACAGGCATGAGATATTTGTCTCTGGCAGGGCAGGTGCATGAAGGAGTGTTAGCAGAGGTGCCACCACCTGGACTCCAGTGGATTATGTAAGTTATTTGAAAGAGGAAAATTCCACTTCTCGATGTAGGAAACATTCAACTGAATTGGTTAAGCAATGATACAAGGTCTCACCTCATCAACTGCCCCAATGATTTGCAGTCACATTGGGAAATCACTTGGCCTTTCTGCTCTCTTATCTCTCCAATTGTTTACGTAAGGTGGAAATTCACTTACCTTCAGGGGCCAGGCAGGTAATGTAAATATATAAAGTAGCAGGTACAGGCAATAGGAGGGTGGGGTTGAGACAACTGAAGAATGCATCCTCTTTCTAAACAATGGCATCCAAGTTCAATTAAAGTTTTGTATTATGTCAAATAAAGCAATTGTGGGCTAAAGTGGATTGAATATGTGCACCATGAGTTTAAGACCCTTGTTTAGTGGGCATGCACTTGCTGGATTTGATATTTGGGTCCCTGGGAAGTTCCAGAGGTATTTAAATGCATGCTAGGTACAAGATCTGCTTATCTAGTATCTTCCGCTATGACATAACAGAACTATAGGGAGCTTGTGGACCCTGCCCTGTAGATCCTGAATCAGTGGGGAGGGAGGGCCCAGGCATCTAGATTCCTATAAGTTCTCAGATGACATGCTATAGTTCAAGAGTCATTAGTTTGAATAGTCCTTTTGAAAACTATCTAAGAATGAGCTGTGTTATGAATAGTGAAATAAAAGAAAACCAAAGAAAGCCTGATTTTGAAGACCCGTGACTCTTCTGTGGGCTGTAGGCCTGTTTCCTAACAGGATACACAGTGTCTGGGACAAGGCAAGACTGTTTATCTCAGAATAATGGCTCATCATCAGGCTCCAAACTAGGTCACTCCTGCCTTTTCAGAAGTGTAGCTCACAGGAAAGCACTGCTATGGCCTACAGGTGGGCAGGGATCAGGGGGCAGAGACGGATTTTTGCTTAAGTATTGAAAGCAAGACAAGCTCAGGGGGTTCTGTAATGCCAGCAGTGATTGTGGAAAGGACATCAGGTGGACCCCCACCTAAGGCTGCACCAATATTTCAGGACTAAGTGCTGATGAAGGGAAATAACAGGTTTTTGAAACAAACAGAGTTGGGTTCAATACTTGGCTGCACCAGTTCATAGCTAAATGGCCTTGGGCAATTTAGTAAACCTCTCTGAGCCTGTGCAGCTATTACATGGGCTATTTAGAGACACATTTTATCAACTGATCACTATACTGGGACTATGATTCATGGTGCCTAAGTTTGACCCCCATGTGGAACAATTATTGAGAAGGCGCTAGAGACCCGAATGTGGGGGCTGTTGGCATGGAGGGTGGCAGAAGCAAAGGAAGGGGGCCAAAGTTGAGTCCTGAAAGATGTTACAATTTCTGGGGTGGGAGGAATTGGCCAGAGGAGACTGAGAAGAAACCTCAGAAAGGGAGGAGAGAAACCAGCAGAAAGTGAAATCTATGGAGTACAGTCTCCTGACTCTGAGAGTCCCCAGACACCCATGTTAGTGACTGAGAATGACTTTGGAGCAAAACAAGTCTAAGTTCAAAATCAGAGCATGCCACCTGCTAATATATGACTTTGGCAAGTTACTTGTTTCAAGCTGTAGTTTTTCCATCAGGAAAATGGGGAGTCACTATAAAGACTAAATGAAATAATGTGCATAAAGCATTTAGCAAAGCCACAGACAGAGCAGGGAGATAACACAGGTAAATGGGTCCTATTCTTATTGATCAGCTAAAGAAGGACTCCTGTCAATATCTGATTTGATTGTGTCCACCTGACCATATTGGGGCAAAGGTAAGGACAGGAGAGAGAGAGAACATGTTCTGTGATTCCTGCTTGCCACCAGCCAAAACCTACAATGCTGGGCCAAGGTCAGCACGGTTCTGGATCTCTCTATTACCAGGAGTCATTCAGAGAAGGAACCTTCCTCATTTGAAAGGTGACTTTGTCTTCTGAATACAGAGCCCTACCATCTCATTTATCTCCCTCAAATTTGTTAAAGAACCATTACTCAGTGCTCTGGTGAATTGCTAAGTTTCTTCTTGTAGACGCCTTTTCTCATGCCCTTAACTCAGGAACGGAGCTCAGACCTCCAGACACTGTTTCCCATGGGAACATCTGAAGTTCCTGGGGACTCACAACAGCTCACCAGTTCTCCTCCAAATAACATATTTAATATTTGCATTTTCCTTTGGCTAAAAGAAGTCAGAAGAGGAGCATAGAATCCCAGACGGGGGAAAAAGACACTCATCTGAAAATTGCCCTTTGCAGCTGGGTCAGATGGGATGAAAGAAGAACGCTGAGGCTGGCGCGCCTGAAACCTCAGATTCATTATTTCAGCAAAGCAGCCAACTCCTGAATGTAAATGATGCTCTTTCTCCTTCCATGTTTAATGTGGAGAATACCAGAGGCTCTTTTATTCAGCACTGAGGCCTTTTATAATTACTTCAGACATCACAGCGTAATTACACAACAAAGCCTGATAGAGAGCTGGGCCCTGGTGCAGTGGGTAATTTTGTTTTGTCTAGTAGCATTTTTTAAAACAGGTGTTATTAAAGGGGGGGTCGAACACACACACACACACACACACACACACACACACACACACACACCAGGCAGGACTCCTCATGCTGGTGTTTTCCAAACTTAGGCAAGGAAGAGGCAGTCTAGGAGTGTGCTCTTCCCCCCAACAATCAAGCAGACTTACTGTCGGTAGTTGTAGGCTATGTCAGCAAAATACTTCCGTCTTGCTCGGTACACAGGATCTTTAAAGCCCTAGGAGAAAGGAGACACTTGGTATCTCAAAGCTTTGAATGAAAGCCTTGAGCTCCTTCCCTTGATTATACCCTGAAAATAAAGTCTCAGCTAAACCAAGGGTAAGCTCTCCCACCAATATGAGCGATGCATCATTAGCAATACCCTCAATTTACTGAGCCCCTGTGCCATGGGATTCCAAAGTGCAAATAGTGTACAGGTTTTAAAGAAATCTCATTCATAGCGTTTCTCACTTGTAAACTTGCTAAATTAGATCAAGCCGGTAGGATTGATATCTATGATGAAGATATACAATATCCACTAAATGTTTGACTAATGATAAGTATCTAGCATTGCCTCCTAACTTCTTGATAGACAAACAGTACATGCTTACTGCCACTGCAATTTTAAAAAATACCATTTATGGATTGCCTACTATGTGCCAGTCTGTGCTAGAAACTTATTTTATGTATAACTCTCACAACACATTTGTGAGGTACATTATTTTGAAGAGAAATCTGCACCCTCGTGTTAATTGTAGCATAATTCACAATAGCCAAAAAATGGAAACAACCTAAGGATTCATTGATGAGTGAATGAATAATATTCCATTGCCTATATGTATTTATTCAGCCATAAAACAGAAGAGAAAAACCTTCTGAAAATATGGATGAACTTTGACAGCATTGTGCTAAGTGAAATAAGTCAGACAGTGAAAACAAATACTGTATGGTCTTACTTATATGTATATGATTTGAGAAATAGAGAAATCCAGATGTTTCACCCTGGAAAAGTAAAGTAAAATCACCAGACATTTTTTTCACTCCAAACCTAACTTCCAGATAAGTTAAGTAATTATTAGTTTAGAAAAATTCTATGATGTGATTATTACAAAGAATAACTTGTTTTCCCTAGAGCAATGCATGGTTTTGCATCATTAATTCCTATAGAAAAGCTAGGACTCTGAAAAATTGGAACTACCATTGAGTCTACTTCTTCTGGGAGAAGATGAGTTGATGTGATAGGAAAATTGGGCACCATGGTTTTATTTCCAAGCAGCACTAACATACTCTTTCATGAAGCCATCTACTGGGCTAAAAGAAGAGCACATCTGCATACTGAGAACCCAAAATATAAATGTAATGGGTGTCAATCATTAAGGCTTGATTGTGACTGTCATCCTTACCTCTCAGTCTTATTTAACAATCAGTAGTAAATGGCTTTAAACATCCCCTAAGTATGAAGTGTAGACTTCTGCACTTTCAAGGTGCCTTGAAGAATATCTATTTCTACATTTTGATCTAGATATGAGGAAGGTGAAGCTCAGAGAACCATCTGCCCAAGAACCCTCAACTAAAGAACCAGGATCTCCACTCAGGTTTTCTGGTCCTAACCAGGCTGATGAGTAGAGGTTTGAGGGTTGAAGCTAAAAACCAGGGAGACAAGAGAAGAATGTCCTTAACCCATAGATTTCCACCTCATCATGTCGCCTCCAGAAAAGGGGTGTCCAAGACAATTTATCTTCCCCTTTGGACTCTCTATCTTTAATCTGTGATGTACTTTGTCTAGGTAGTTTAAATATTTTTCCATCAGTGAAAAAAAAAGCTTGAAATAAAATCATGTATCCAGTAAATGTCAACTTTGTCAGAGGGAATACATAAATATATACATGAAATGATGAAAGAAATACACCAAAGTCTAACAAATGTCATGAAAATGAGAAAAAGTAACTGTTTTAGTCTTATATACTATTATGCTTTTGAAGTTTTCTATGGTGTGTAGGGTGTTTTTAATAGCTAGAAAAAAGTAAAATAATAGTAAAAATCCATCTCAAATCATTATGGAGAGTGGCAGCAAATTCATATATATATCACATGGATTCTCTCTGTGGGATGGTTTCTAACCACGATTCTTTTTAACTCAAGTCACTAAAAAGTTCATTATTAGCCTGCAAGGGGACCCCACTAACTAGGCTGCATGGACTTTTGCTCTCCCTATTACCAGTGAAAGGGAGCTATAACCTGGAAGTCCATCTCTCAGGGAGCTGGCCTTCCATCCTTTGGGCTGCCGGGTGACCACAGGGCCTCCACACCACATGGAATACACTCTGAATGAAGCTACAGTCAGCGATGACTAATCATCCTGTCTCAATTTAGTCTAACAGCAGCAATGTCAGAAACACTGCATGTAATTTATTTATAATCACCCTGTCTCAATTAGGCTAATAGCAGCAATTTGGGTTGCACTGCGGGTAACCAAGTGTGTTTTGACAGGAAAATATATTGCTGGTGAAGAAGCGATGAGGGGAAGGGGGAAGAGGGGAGGACAGATGGAAGAAAGTACAGAGAATTCTACAGGGTGCAAAGTCTACACACAATCACTTTCCTTATTCTCAGGATTTTTGTTTCCTGAGGGTGTTGAAGCATGTGATTTTGTTTTTCTGGGGCTTTGGGGGAAAGGGTAGCTATATGGAAAAGTTATGAGTATCCTTTTAGACAGAGATCTTACGTCATTATTTCTTGATAACATGGCTAAGCTTAAACCTCAGAAATGCCATCTTTAGTCACACAGGCTGGAACTAATAAAAGTAACATTAATGTCCACTGTAATTGAAAAAAAGTAAAATAACTAAAGGTAAATTTTAACCTAAAAAAAAAAGTTAGACAGGCTGGGTTGAATTATTGGATTACTAACCCATTCAATCACTAGGAGAATGGCCTGGGGTTGGTCAGTTCACCTCTCATAGCCTTAGTTTCTTCATCAGTAAAACGAGACAGTTAATGGAAGCTATCTCACAGGGTGGGGTGGATTAGATCAAGTAAAATTCTGAGTATAATGGAGACACTCAAAAAATGATGCTTTGGGGCACAATGGTGGAAAAAACCCAAAGCTGAGAAATCTGGCTTTGAACATAAAAAGGATATACTCTCTGGAATGGTCACTGAGTCCTTCACCCATCCTTGGCTTCTTAAACAGCATCTATAGAATTCTTACCTTGCTATTTATTTATAGTTCATCTAGGCCAATAGTAAGAGCCTTTTTGCATCCTATTGGTCCCAAGCCAACTGGAGGAAGGATGATACACAGGAGACAAGAGTTTCAAAGTGGCATTTTTTTAAGTATCTACCATTGCCATCCTATAGGTATGGGCCAAAGATTTGTAAGCCAAGAGACAAGGGCAGTGCGAGCATGCCCCCCACCCTTGCCCACTGTATGTTGTCAGCCATGGTCCCCACCAATAATGCCAAGAAGCCTGTTCTAGAAAGGATTTGGACACCTGGTTGCCCAGGCTGGGAAGTCATTGTTTTACTTCTCTCCTCCTCTCTTACTTTCACATTCAATAATCAATTTTTGTCCATTTTTCCTTTCAAATATCTTGAGTCTGTCCTTTTTTACTTTATTCTCACTGCTACAACTTAATTCAGGCCTTCATCTTTTCTTGCCTGGACTACTATAACTGCTTTCTTTAACTCCTCTCCCAAACCATCTCTCTTCACTTTAGTCCATGTAGATTTAACAAAATGCAAATCTGGTGGGGATGCTCCCCTCATTAGAAACTTTCAATGGCTTCTCATCACTTTTGGGATACAGTCCAAAATCCTGAACATAGTCCACAGGGCTTTATGTGATCCTGCCCTACCTATATTTCCAACTCTGTGCAGAACTACATATTATATCTCCAAATTTGTCCAGATTGGTCTTATTTTAATTCTTTAAACACACCATGCTTTTCCTCCCACATGGAGGCCTTCATACATTCTGTTCCCTCTGATTGGAATACTTTTCCTCACTTTTTCAGACCAATAAGCTACTACTCAGTCTTTCCATCTTGGTTCACATCACACCTTCCTTGATTTTTCCAGTTTATTGGTTTTCTTCTACAATACACTCCCTCAGCAAACTGAGTGTTTTTCCTTTTAGACAATCATTATACTTGTTTTTTTAAAATATATTTTTATTGATTTCAGAGAGGAAGGGAGAGGGAGAGAAAGATAGAAACATTGATAAGAGAGAATCATTGATTGGCTGCCTCCTGTACTCCCACTACTGAGGATGGAGCCCAAAACCCAGGCATGTGCTCTGACTAGGAATGGAACAGTGACCTCCTGGTTCATAGGTTGATGCTCAACCACTGAACCACACCAGCATGGCACAATCATTATACTTGTTAATAATTATTTAATTCAGGAATCTGTTTGTCTTACTTATCACTGGATTTTCTGTGCCTGGCATATTTGGCACACTCCTGAGTAAGACCTATTAAAAATTATGCAAACCTTAAGCAAAACAAATGTTACGGTGTGCCTTTTCAAAGTCCTATCAGATCACTATTTAACAAGCTCACTGTGTGCTCCAGGGGCATGGACATTTGCTTGAAGTGCAATTTACAACTTAGTAAGGCCCCAACACTTCAAAGTTGGATGCTGAGTAATATTTATTCAAAGTTCCAAAATATTTATTTTATGATCCTGTTGCAAATTATTTCTGTCCAGTAGAAAAGAGAACACTCGCAGTTACGGCTTTCCCGCCTTCTGGGACATTGGTAATTTGTATAACCACCTTTGTGATCTTATTCCAGATCTCTATTTTCCAATGACCATATATACTTTGGTCTCTTGTGTCTTCCTTTGCACCATCTTTGTCATCTTGCTGGGTTCCCCATTCCTGAGTCCATGGATCTTTGACACATGTTCACAATATATACCTGTATAACAGTTGTTTCTAACTTTTTTAAAAATTACACTTTGTCAGAGCAACTTAGTTGGAATGCAACAAGTCATTGATGTTGACTCAACTGGTTGACTTTTAGGATAGATTCTGACAGGCCCTCAGGTAGGTGAGCAGAAGGAAGGGAAAAGGAGACAAGTATTGAAAATATAGTCCTGGTCTTGGGGAAGAGCAGGCTCTTGTTGGCGAGTAGGAAAAGTTAATGCCTATACCATGAAAGATTGAAAAGCAGTTTGAGAGACTTGGATCAAGAACAGAAATAAACACAGAAGAACAGTTGTGTTTGCTCACATTTCCCCACTGAAAGCTCCCTCCAGTGTGGGTCTTCATCTAGACACGGAGGCAGGTGTTAGGGAAACTGAAAGAGAGAGCTCTGAGGTTGGGGGTCTGTGTGGTTGTGGCTGCTGGTATCCCCTTCATTATCTCTGAGAATATTGCTAAACTACTTTTCTCTGCGTCCTTACTAAGTTAGTTGTGGGCCTGTGACTGAGCTGTAGTCAATGGAATTTGAGTGAAGAGATGTGAGTCACCTTCCATCCTGGCCCATATGAACCTCCCAGGAGCCATTCTCTGTCTTTTTCATGCACGGGCACCATGCTGAGGCTCCAAGGACTTGGAGGAGGGTGCAGCCCTTAGTTGGAAGGAGACTTGATCTCTGCAAGACTGGGTGGAGCGATTTCCTTATTGACTACATTGGAAATAAACTTTCCTTGGGTTAAGCCATGGAGGTTTGGGGGCTGTTTGATAAGTAAGCAGCTAGCCTACCCTGGTTACCACAGGGCTTAATTCAGATCTCCCTGTTTGTGAACTCCTCCCTAACCATTCTGCCCACAGTGACATTAAAACTGATAGCATAGCAGTAAACCTGGTGTTTACTCATATACATTTTTGCTTTATGATTTAGCCAAATAATTACCCAAACTGTATTCCATGGAACACTACCATTCAAGATAATGTTGCTAAGGGTCAATAAGGGGTTCCATGGGTAAATAAGTTTGAGAACCATTAGGTGAAATGAGTTTCATTTTTGCAGGACTTTCCAAAACCTCTAATGAGACCATGGAACTTGTAAATGCTGAAAATGGGGTTCTAGAACACAGCATTTCCCCCCTTGATCGTGAGATCTTTTTCATAGACTCTAGTTCAGGACACATGTATATGTCTCACTTGCATATATCTTATGGCTCCTGTGAGGTTATTATAAGTCATGACATGGTGAATTTATTTTGGCCTGATACTCTGTGCTCAAAGTATAAATCACAGTGACACAGCTCTACAGCATGAGTGTGGGAACCACTGGGCCTGGAGACTATGTAGATGGGAGGCTCTAGGGAGGTCAAGATATATGAGTTGGGCCTTAAAAGTAAATAGAGGCCTTCCAGCAGGGAAAGGGCAGCTGGGGGATAAGGAAAAGCATCCCTGGCAAAGGAAGCAACATGGACCAGAGCACAGAGGCTGAGAACAGTTGGAGAAAGGAGAATTGCTTTTAGAAATGGAAATCAAACAAACCCACTTGGATTCTGTTTGCCAGGCTTAGGATTGCACCCTCAACCCCTCTGCCATCCCTTTGGGAAGAATAGCCACTCACCCTTCTTCTCTCAATCTTACAACTGAAGGCTCCTGGAAGGAAGATATCCTGTTTTATTAATCATTTCAGCCCCCTTCCCTGCACATGGCCTGGGACATGGCTCACGGACACACGAGCCCACACAGCCCTCTCTGGCTGAGATTTCTCATCGGAAAATGAGAAAGTACAACCTTCCCATGGGTTAGAACATTTAAGTTTTTTAAAATGCAGGGAAAGCATTTAGCACAGTGCCTGGTACACAATCCATGCTCAAGAAATGTGCTTAATAAACACAAGTGGAAGGAAGACAGAGGACGGGGATGAAGAGATGGCAGGATGGAGGAGCTGATACAGCTAGCCTATTTCATTCCCCTTCATCTCTGTTTTGGGAACAATCCTTCCCTGGCTCATTTTCCAGCGCGGCTGTGTTGGAGGCCCTGGTGTGGGCTATTGGGTCAAACCTCAGTGCCTACTGCCAAGAGCAGGGGCCAGGGCGAGGCGCGCTCCTCCCGAGCCTGTGGGACAGAGAAGAACAGAGGGTCCTCTCCGAGGAACACCTCTGCCCACACCCTGGAGGGCCTGTTCTGTTCTTGGCCCATCTCTTCCCAGATCGGATGAAAAGCCACAGGAAGGAACAGGGAGAGCCTGGCCTCTCCTCAGGGGGACAGTGTACCTGATAAATTGTATTTTTACGATAAAGTGCATGTCACTGAGAGGCCAGGGAGCCAAAGATGTGGGCTGGGCCTGTAAGGAGAAATTAACTCCAGAGTTTTAAGATCAGCCCCATCTGCCTCTCAGAAGACAGACACCAGGACAGAGGTGGGGAGATGGCCATGTCTATGGACTGGCTTCTGCTCTCACATCCCCAAATGACAGGGGGTGTGCCCAACGGAAAGGACATGGGGCAGGGCAGAGGTACTGGAGGTTGGTAAGAGGAGAAAGGCCACGATGGGCCGACCCCATTGGCTGGGTCAAAGGTCATCAGACAGCTTTGCAGAGAAACCATATCTTTGAAGATGCTTCGCTCTCAGGGCCCCTAGCCAAGAGGCCCCAGACAGACATGCCAAAGGGGGGTCATTCACAACTTACTCAACTGTAAGGACCCACGTGACATGAGGAGAAATTAGACTGTGAGTAAAACACAGACAGTCCCTTAGTGTTAGACTAACCCACTGCAAATGGAAACAACCTTCAAGTCATTTAAAGGCGAATGGAGCCATTTGCCTGGGCAGACAGTAAAGGACAGTCAACATGATCACGGTTGCACCTCTTGCCTATAGAGGCTGCTAGAACTGGCTCTGAGCCAGGCTGGGCTGCTCCATCCCAGGACCCCCAACCCCACAGAAAATGGGGATAAACTCTCCCCACCCCGGTCCTCTAACCAGAAGCCATTAAAGGACCCAACCCCCTGCCCACAGGTCATGGGACACAGTCTGATTTCTCCATCTGGTACGTCAGATCTTTTAAAACCTGACCTTCATACCTACCACACCAGCCAGCCCTTCTAAAATATTCCAGGTACTTTCAGGACCCTGAACCTTCGCATGTACTGTTCCCTCAGATCGTACTGCCTCCTGTCTCCTTGTTTGACTAGTATCTTCCACTCAGTTTTCAAGATCTAGTTCAATGTCACCACTTCCCACGCCCCATGGATCTGGCAGAGTTGTTAGTAGACTTTTCTGTCTCCCAAGCACTTGAATTAAACCTCTGTGATTGTAGAAAGTCAGAAAAATAAAGATTACTTAGATATCTGAGTGTGTGTGTGTGCACACATTTACATGCATATATTATATATAAACAATAGTTTCTAGATGATAACCCATATTTGATCCAACAATAATAACGGCTATGATGATGATTATGATGAATGAGTAGGCACTCAATAAACGACTGCTGTACAAGAAAACAATTAAAGACATATTGCTCCAGAGTAGGATGGGGAGGAACCAAAAGCATCTCATGGGCAGGGCCATGGACTCACGGGGTGGTCTGCATCCAGTTCCGCTCCATAGCTGAGGATCTGGTTGGCAAATCTGTCCAGATCTTGAATGGTCCTTGGGAACCAGGGCACTGCAACACAGAAAGAGCAAAGTCCTGAGTGGCAGATTGGCAGGACACAGTCAAGGTCAGAAGTCAGAAGTATGCAATCGGCCCCAATTAGTCAAGTCAATGGTGGTGAAAGTGGAGTTCCAGACAGCCACCAAATTACTGATTCAAACACTATATCCCATTTCCCTTGAAAACTTTTTTTTAATTTCAGCTTTGTTTAAGTATAAGTGACAAAATGGTAAGATATTTGAAGGGTACATGACTGTTATTTGATATATGTATACATTGAAAGGATCCCAGCACATGTTTTAATTAGCACATCCATCACCTCACACATATTTATCTTCTTTTGGAGGGGTATGAACATTTAAGTTCCACTCTCTTAGGTAATTGAAAGTATACAATACAGTACTACCAACTATATCACTGTTTTATATATTAGATCCTTGAACCTTATTCACCTTATAGCTGAAAGTTTGTAGTCTTTTACCATCTCCTATTTCCTCCGCCCTCAGCTCCTGGCAACTACTTACCTACTCTTTGTTTCTATGAGTTTAACTTATTTTTTAGGGTCCATATATAAGTGATACCATGCAGTATTTGTCTTTCTCCCTCTGCCTATTTCACTTAGCATGTTGGAAACTAATTTTAAGACACATTCCCAAACATTTTCTCTTTCCTGGAGATTTTCTCTGAATTATCTCAAAATTCATCTCCCTCCCACCCATCATAGTAGAGTGGAACAGTTTTTGATGTTTTTCTTTAGCAGCAGAATATATATGCAACCCCAGAATGTAACCCAGATTAAACCAGAGCTGTTCTATTGTCAGCAAGGATGAGCCCGTGAGACCCCGTCTTCCTATCACGGGTCTCCCTCCCAACAGCCCCCAGACATCCTGGCAGACTCTTTGGATGCCAAAGCCCATTTGGAAGCCCTTGGTGAAGCAGAATGAATGGAGTCAAGGTAGCAGGATTTGAGGATGCTCAGCAGAATCCAAGGAATCCGTGGATTTGCATGTGTTTGGAGCAGCATAATGGGAAAGAAGATGGGTCTGAGCTGTGTGGCCTGCAGACATTGGTCATGTAGAGAGAGGGACCCTAGGAAGAAGAGTAGGTGGTGGCACCCAAATCGCTGTGGCCTACAGGAAAGAAGGCATCCTAGGAGTGGCACTGTCCCAGGAATGAACAGAGACTAGGACATTTTGGACTGTAAGGTCCATGAGGGTAGGAACTATGAGTGCACTGTAGTTCCAGGTGCATAGGAGGAAAGGAGGGAGGAAAGGAAGAAAAAAGGGGGGAAAGGGAGGAAGGAGAAAAGGAAGGAAGGAGGGAGGGTAGGAGAGGAAGGAAGGGAGGGAGGAAGGAAGGAAAGAAGTCTGGTTATGTTAACATGTAAGGCATTAATAATAGTAACCATCATGCATGGAGTGTTAATTCTGGTTTAGTTGCTATTTCTGAAGTGTCTCCAACATTAGGAAGGTATTATGACTCCTATTGTTCAGATGAGAAACTGAGGCTTTGAAAAGCCTAAATAACTTTTATAATCACACAGGAGTAAGAAAGTGGTGGACCCAGAAAATGAGTAGAGGACGTAAGTAGACATGGTGAGCAGACAGTGAAGTGAGCCCAAGGCACCCCTCATTCCCCTGAAATGAGATTTAGGGGAAAGGATGCTGAACTTGCAGTCAGCCTGGCCTGTGTTTGAATCCAGGCTCCAACTACCTACTCATCCTCCCTGTGCTTCAGTCCTAACTATAAAAATGGGAATAACAGCAACAATATTGGGAAGAACAGCAAACATTTTTTGAGGCCTTACCATGTACCAGGTGCTTGCTTAGCATTTTGGTTGGAATGCCTCTTTTAATATGAGGGTTGCTGTGAGAAGTAAATAAGAATGTAGGCAAGGCGTGCAGCCCAGTGTCAGGCCCATAAAAGGTAGCTTTCCATCTGGGGCAAGTTATTTCTGTTTCTGCTCAAAGGCTCAGGTTGTGCAGAAAAGAACATGTGTACCATCTAGTGGTCAGACTGGGGAAATGTCATCCATGATCTACACAGTCCACCAAAACAAGAGGCTTTTCTCAGCAGCGTTAATAAAGGTTCATTTTCAAAAAAATTTAAAAAATAGAGGTTCATTTAGACTAGACGCAGTGGTCGGCAAACTGCAGCTCACGAGCCACATGCAGCTCTTTGGCCCCTTGAGTGTGGCCACGAAGTTTCAATCACACTGTACATGCATGCCAGAACGTGGTATTTTGTGGAAGAGCCACACTCAAGGGGCCGCAGTTTGCCGACCACTGGGTCACTAGAGCCTTGTTTCCATAGGTCTGAGATGCTAAGCTCTCTACTGCCTATGTGAGTAATAAAAAGTAACATTGGGTGCCATTCTAAATATTTGACCTTTGAGGTGGGTGCTATTGGACTCCCCAGATTACAATGAGGAAGCTAAGATACAGAGAGGTTGAGGGGCAAACCCCAACACACACTGCGAGAAAACAACGGTCAGGATTTTAACTCAGGCCCGGCTATTCCGCCGTCTCAGGCCTTTACCATGAATCCACCCCACCACAGGGGCTGGGGGCAGAGCACACTGGTTTGGACAGCTGCCTGCCTGATCGTCTTTGCAGCTTCCCACCTGGGGTTTCCATGGCCTCAAAGCCCAGCCCTTATCTCCCAATCAGCTCTCTGTGATGATAAAACAACAGGAACAGAGATGGGCCACAGAGCTGGACAGCGGGGCTGGAACACCGTCTCTGCGCTATCTGTGGCACCCAGAACTTCTTTGTGCCTCAGTCTTTGTAGCAATAAAATGGGGATAATAATAGTGCTATAAAGTACTACTTTAGAGGAACAATATGAGGGCAAATGAGTTAATATATGTGACTTGCTGAGAACAGTACCAGCACATCGTAAATACAGTTGACCCTTGCACAACACAGGTTTGAACTGCACAGGTCCACCTGTATGTGGATTTTTTTTCAATATGTATTCATCGATCGTTTGTTATCAGTAAAGCTTTTGGTCAACAGCAGGCTGTTAGTGGTTAGTTAAGTTTTGGGGGAGTTAAGTGATACTTGGATTTTTGACACAGTACAGGGGTCAGTGCCCCTAACCTTCTGTTGTTCAAGGGTCAACCACACTATTATTGCTCAGCTACAAACTCCAGGGAATTATTTTTACTCTGCCCTTAGCTCAACATAGCACAGAGGACAAAAGAGAAAGCCTTCCATCAAAGCTAGAAGGTCTGCCACTTATTTTTGTATAATTGAGCAAGCATTTTATCTCTTGGAGCCTTAGTTTCTTTATCCACGAAATGGACAAAAACTGTCTTATTGCATGAATTAAATTAGCAAATGTGACAATCCCAGCACAGTGACTGACCCAACATAAGGGCTCAGGGTTAACCATTAGGATGACAACGATCTTAATGATGATAATATTTAGAGGCTGGGAGGGGGGAGGGAAAAGATGGGGGAGAAGCAAGACTAGAATCGGGAAGCTGGTGGTCAGCCCAGCTCTGATATTAACAAGCTTTCTAATCCTGGGTCTCAGTTCCCTTCTCCATAAAATGTGAGTGTTTGGATTCATGTGCTGCTGCAATCCTTTTTGGGTTTCAGATTCCAAGACCTATGGGATGCCTGTGACGGGCTGAGGCTGGCCTAGACACCTGAAAACACACTTCTGGTTCAATCTGTGTGCAACCTCGCTTGTTTCTGGAAGTATCGTCACTACATTTGTTCCGCTCCCAAAATGCATTGCCCCTACCATTTCTGTTTCTCCTCTCACCAAAGAAACAAAGATCTCTATCCCACAAATAGAAGCCTTTGGGCCCCCACCTTAATTCACAGCTGTGCATGCTGGCTGTTTCTCAACTGAACGCCAGAGGGCAGCAGAACCAGAATATTTTCAGCTCTGGGTGGCTGTGTGTGTGTGTGTGTGTGTGTGTGTGTGTGTGTGTGTCCTCCAAAGGGAAAACACTAGTTGAGCCACATAACTTAGTTCAGACCCCTTGGTGGAGAAAAGTGGCAAATTTGGGAAGTTTGCAGACTCAAAAGATTGAAGTCTTGGTGAAGCTAAATACAGCCTATGTGTTGTCTGGGTAGAAAGAGGACCCAGCCAGGCCTCCTGATGAGGAGTTCACCAGCTGTCCCCTTGGAGAGCAGAAACAAGGCTGAAGGAAATGAGACCCAGGAGGGGCAGTTCAGGGTGTTGGGAATATGGTATCAAGGTCCCGACAGGCCTCGATTTCTGGGGAAGAGGCCAACCGGAGCAGGGCTGTGAAGCGGGCAGTGTGGGGACACCACGGGCTCCAGGGACAGAGACTGCAGAGGACCCCAGAAAAAGTCAGGACCAAGCCTTTACATTTGTGCCTGACCTTTATACTGCTCAATGGGTGTGCACACACCCTGGACTGGAAGCCAGCAGGTCTGCGTTCAAGTTTTCTTTCTCCCACCCCAAACTGCATGACTCTGAGAATGTCACTTGATGCCTGAGCCTCTGACTTCTCATCTGTGAAATGGGTGAGGCAGCCAATCCCTCACTGGCCTCCTGGGTTGGAGTGAGAAGCAACTGACCAGCAGCAGTAGGTCAATCTGTGTCTTCATTACACAGAGACACTTATCTAGTTAAGTAAGGTGACGCTGGCCACTGGTGGCAGGGCTGGATCCATTCCTGTGTCTCCATCCTCTACAACGGGGCTCTTCCAAGTTTCCCAGCCAAAAAATTATAGCTACTGTTTTTTTCTTTAAAGTTACATTTTTTTGAGATCCTGTGCTAAACGCTTCCCTTTCATTATCTGCTTAAATTCTCAGAGCAATCTGAGGTGGTACCATTATTATTTCTGCTTTACTGATGAGCAAACTGAGGCTCAGAGAGATGAACAGACTTGCTCAAGCTCCCTGGGCTCCCTGGGCTGGAATTAGAACTCTGCAGCTTGTGGACTCCACTGCTGTGCTGGGCTGGCTCAGAATAAGGTAGGCGGTGCAGGGGTCCTTGGTTTTAGAGGTGACGAACCTGAACAGGAA